TATACGATTCAACAAATACTTGGGATGTTGTAATTTCAACTTTTAAAATAATCTTATTCTAACCAATCTCATCTTAAATATATAGACTTCAAAAATATTTTCACTATCTCAAATTATCTATCGTGATTTTCAAAAATAGTTTTCTCAAATTATTGTTAATATATAAATTCAAAACAAAATTAATTATTTTTTAAAATTTTATCCTTAATTATTTCTTGAGTAGACTACAAATACCTCAATATAGTAAATATTTAATGAGGATGGATTTATCTCAAGACACAATTGAGTGTTATAATTAATATTTTTTTAAGAAAAATGTAAAAGAGAAACACGACAGATAATGTGAGACGACGAGAGTATATCTTAACAAAGATGTTGCAAATTCATGTTCATCGTCACTGGCTGCTTCAAACTATAGGCCGTACATGTTAATTATATCTAATACCTTTATTTTTTGTGAAATTTCTCGGAATGCACCATGTAGCTTCGTTATCATGTTCCTTTGTTTATTTATGTAACATATTTTTCTTGTGAGTTCACACATATATAATGACAATACATAACAAAATAAAAATAAAAATTATCCATGCGAAGAAAGCAAGATGATTCAAAATATAATATTTACGTTATTTCAAGGTGCATATAGTTCCGCCACTATGTACAACAGGATCAAAGCAACTGATATTGGTAGCAAAATCGATAAATAAAATAGTTTGTGATTCAAATCAATAAACTAAAAGGCTTAGATCAGTCTCTAGCGGTCTTGCATATTGTTGGACCATTGTGCACAAATCTAACCTCCTTTATTACATTTGCAAGATGAATTTTATTGCAAGTTTGCAACGTCTAATGTGTTTTTTCCATCTTGAAGAATCTAAGTTGATTATTTCACAAAAATAAAGTCAACAAAGTAAAAGAGTTCGTTTGATTTGTGGAATAAAAGAAAAAGATAATTAAGTATAAGGCGATCAGAGGCAGAGCCAGGATTTCATATCAGTGGGTTCTAAATTTTTAAAAAGAACAACGATCTTAACCTAAAGTAACAATCATCAAATTAATGAAAAAATACAAGTATTTAATTCACTAAAAATGAATAAGGAAACAAATGAAAAGGGAGAGACAAGAGTACACACCAGAGGCCAGATGTTGGATAGCAGCAATTAGATCAACACTAAAAGTTAGAACCCTAACTTTTGGAGAGAAAAAAATTGAGTCAAACTTTTTGAATGTGAGTAAAAACATTCTGCAGGGGTGAACGATCTCGCTAGATGCTCAGCGACCACTGGGCCAACATTTCAGTGTGTTTATGGGTTCGCAGGAAATATATATATACACATTGTACTTCATATTTTAATATAAATATAGAGTCTACGGAAAAGCCAATGGGTTCGGCCGAACCCCTTCCGCTAGAGTAGCTCCGCCCCTGAAGGCGACCAAACTTTCATGCATATATGTTACCTTTAATTTGATCTAAACCAATTTAAGTTGATTTTTCTTCGTACAAACTTTGATTATTTAAAGTTACTTGGTAGAAAAGTAAACGATAGATGCAAAAATTTTCTTCCATTTTTTGAGAAAAAGAGTTTCAATAGCTTTTCGTGGAGTCGGTTTAAGAGCTTAACAAATGATTATTTTTTTTTATCTCTATCGAAATAAAATCGTGCTTTAACTATAAAAATATATTGTAAATAAAAGTGAAAAAATAATAAAATCAATTTGACTTAGCCTCATTAATTAGTGAAGGAAAAGATCAAACAATACTTGAGTATGTCTATTATTGCAATTGCAAGCGCCTTCTCATTTCATATGGCTTTACTACATTTTGACTTACTTAATTCTTTGATTTATCCCTTTTTATAGTTTATATGGTTGGAGAAGACATAAAATTTGAATAATCTTTAGAAGTAGTGAGTTCAAAATAAAAAAAAAGTTTGTATATCAAAATCAATAAATTAAAAATCTTAGATCAGTCTCTAGCACGTAGCTAGGTCTTGCAAATTACATTGTTGGACTATTGTGCACAAAACTAATCTCCTTTATTACAATATCAATGTTGATTTTCATATAGATTAATATGTATGTATGTTTAGTACTTTCGCCTCGCTCAAAGTAAATTCTTTAATACAACTAAAATTATTATATATTTACCATCTAAATTTTGAGATATTATACCGCAAAAATATAAACTTAAAGCTCCACATTTTTTATTATTTTAATATCGGAATATCTTCGACCACTCTTTTGTTACTTAAGTTGTTGAACGACAAAAACTAAAGAACATAAATTTGAGACATATAATTTAGGACAAATTACTTAACTATACTCCTTTACTTACCTTAATATCCATTTATCCCTACTTATTTCAAAATTTTCAAAAATCCCTTATTTACCTATGTATCCCGCACGTATCCCGTGCACAACGCTAAATGTATCAAACGTTATGTATCCCGTGCACAACGCTATGTATCCTAAATTTAAATACCACTCCGAAATAAGATATTTGTGCGAATGATCCTAAATTAAATTACGATCCCAAAAATGAAATATTTGTACTCTTTACCCGTTTAGTTCCGGGGCCCAAGTTCTTAAATTGGATAATTGGTCTAAGATACATGGATTCTAGCCTGGCCCAATCTTGTACATGTTTGTTTAGATTGGAGTTTTGTAAGTATCTCCATTTTGGGTCCTAAGTTTTTATTTCTATTTTTGAAATTATACTTATATACTTAGGTCTTAGCAAATTAGTCTTTAGAATAATATAAGAGCTGAATTTAATATTTTAAATTATTTTTTAATTTTATCGACAAAGTATTAAAATATCATTTAACATTTTAATAATTTATAATTATCTTAAATTGTGATCTAATACTTTTTTTAAAAAATATAAATATTCGGTTTGTTCAAACAAATTTTTTAGACCATAATTGAAAAATTCATGAATTATATAAAGTTTTTAAAATTAATTAATCATCTCAAAAGGATAATTGCTAAAAAAAAGAATTGGTTTGTTTTTTCTTCTTGTTTACTTTGTATATGAAGTAATGTTCTTGCATAAAAGTAAAAATAAAATAAAAATTGTACTTGTTATTACACATTATATATATTTGAAGTAGGTTTTTTAAAACAATGTCATGCCTCTGCTTGAACAAATACGCATTAACCCATTTGAAATTAAGTAAAAATCTTCTTTCCAACCCTTTATACGATACTCCTTGCTTCGTACAAATACTCGTAGATGAAAGAAACCTTTCTTTGCTCCTATTAGCGGGATCATGATGAATCATACAATATATTGATGGTAGGTAAATAATGCATGCTTAAAGTCTTATGCTATAAGGGGTCGTTTGGTTACTGTATAAGTTGCATTTTATCCATGTATGAAAAGTTGCATTACTTTTACCATGTTTGGTAGAAATTTTGTTTTAGGTGGAAAAGTCAACATAACTTATACCATGTTTTGGTTGGTAGAATTCTAAATATTGTATAAAAGTTATTCATGTATTAATTTTATACGGTGTTTGGTTGTGTTTTTTTGTAGTCCTACATAATTAATACCAACGTAACTTTTGAGGGAATCTATGTATAAGTTATGCAGGGTAGAATGTGGAATAAGTTATGCAAGTATTAGTTATACATGTATTAAAATAGTAAATTACACATTTATCCTTATTGATTTATTTTTAATTATTTTCATTGAAAATGTTATCCAACTATCCTATTTCCTAACTTTTTTTTAATACACGAACAACTTTTTTTTTTTTTTCTGTTTTCATTAGAAATCAAAATGTAACATTTTATTAATATTACAAATTGAATTGTATATAGCGTTATATATTATTAAATATATTCCACTTCTTTAATTAACATGTATTATTATTTTGTTTAGGATGTGAATTTATAAATAATTCATTTATTTGATATATTAAAACTGTATAAACAATATATACAACATATTGATAGAATAGTTACATTATATAAAATAAGATATTATAATATACTTGAAATATATTAATAGTATTTTATTTTTATAAGTTATAAACATAAAAAAAATAACAAAATGAAAAAATAGCATTCCCAATTAAGTATAGAGGGAGAATTTTTTTTCTTTACTTTTTATTCAAAAAGAGGGAGAATTTATACTACTTGCTTACTTATTTATTTGTAAGTAATATATATTAATTTACAATAAATTCAATATTTATTAGTTAATAATTTATGCATTGTGATCTCTACATAATTAAATAATATATGCATAACTAAATCCTACATAACTAATACCTGCATAATTAAACCCTGCATAACTAATACCTGCATAACTAAACACTGCATAACTAATACCTGCATAACTAAACCCTACATAACTAATATCTGCATAACTCTAACCAGTAACCAAACGGCCCCTAAATACATAAACATGTAAATGATATACCTGTTGAACTATCAGAAAAGTAAACCCCTAAAGAAGCTTGAATAAGGACTGATTATAGATGAAGAAATTGTTGATTGTGTCATAAATATTCTTATGTCCACATCCTAATTCCTCTCCAAAGGGAAAACTTGGTTCGTAAAGCTATTCTAAGATTATAATTTTGAGATTTTGACCGAGAGAAGAGATGAAATAATATCAAATTGAATGAAATAAACTTCAATAATAACAAGTACAACTACATCAACATATCAAAAGAAATCTCACCAATGGGATTTGAGAGGATAAAGTGTATGATTGTACGTAAATTGTATCATTATTTATGCAAGTAAAAATATTGTTTGCGAAAAGCCCTCAGCTCAAGAAAAATAAATTCAAATAAAAACAACAATATAGAAACCGTAACCATTTTTTTTAAAAAAAAAAGAAGGCAAAACCTACAAAGATTTATATACTGTTTAATTAAAGTTATAAATTTATCCTAAACTAAATTTATATCTTCAACCCAAAAAAAATAAAAAGTATACTATATACTAATTTTAATTACAAACTTAATTTTGGAATCTCCTATTTTACTTGGCTACCAAACAACTCAACAGACTTCTTAACCTTCTGCAAAAACTGGGGACTGATACCTTATGATCTATCCGTTATACGCTTCTGCTTGGCGTTAACTTTTAAGGGCTGCAAAAATGGTGTAATTTCTCAATTGAATTGCCTTTCTGTCAAGGTCTTAATCTCTTTACCTATCTCCATCTTGTTCTTTTTCTTTTTCATTATACTGTCTACAGTAGAAGATCTGATGCATGGTAAATAGGTAGTGGGGTTTTCTCTTTTCTTTTCGAAATTGTTCAAGATTGAATCTTTTGTTGTTGTATGCTGATGTATAGAAAAATTACGACGACCCATTATGTGAAATTGTCATTCTTGATTGTTCTGGTAAATTTAATTGTATTTTTGTGCCGACCCATGTTATCAATTGTTAGAAATCGTTTGTTGTTTTGGTGTTTTGCTCCTGTAGTTAGCTAGTGTGTGATGATTCTTGAGAAGTATGATGATTTTGTAACTTGAAACTTGTTGGGAATTGCAGAAATTGAGGGCTTTCTGCTCATAGAGAAACTGCAATTCCAATGGGGGAGTTCGATGATGGAGAGTATGCAGGGATTAATGAGGTTACATCACCCAGAGAAAATAATGCTAGGAAAGTTTCAGTCTTGCCTTTACTTTTCCTCATTTTCTATGAGGTTTCTGGTGGTCCTTTTGGTGTTGAGGACACTGTGCGGGCAGCTGGTCCTCTTCTTGCTCTTTTGGGGTTCTTGGTTTTCCCATTCATATGGAGTGTCCCCGAGGCATTGATTACAGCTGAAATGGGCACCATGTTCCCTGAAAATGGTGGCTATGTTGTGTGGGTTTCATCGGCTTTAGGTCCTTATTGGGGCTTTCAGCTAGGTTGGATGAAATGGTTGAGTGGAGTCATTGACAATGCGCTTTACCCTGTTTTGTTCTTGGATTATCTGAAATCAGCCATCCCTGCATTAGGTGGCGGGCTTCCTAGAGTACTAGCAATTTTGGCCCTTACAGTGGTTCTTACTTACATGAACTACAGAGGCTTAACTATTGTAGGATGGGTTGCTGTTTCGCTTGGTATACTGTCAATTCTTCCTTTTGTGGTTATGGGGCTCATTTCGATTCCCAAATTAAAGCCTTCAAGATGGTTAGTGGTAGATGTACAAAGTGTTGATTGGAACTTGTATCTGAATACTCTCTTCTGGAATCTGAATTACTGGGACTCAATAAGTACTCTTGCTGGAGAAGTACATAACCCAAAGAAGACTCTACCTAAGGCTCTCTTTTATGCTGTTATTCTAGTTGTTCTGTCCTACTTTTTCCCATTGTTAATTGGTACAGGAGCTGTTCCTCTTGAGCGTGACTTGTGGACTGATGGCTATTTCTCTGATATTGCGAAAATACTGGGCGGAGTCTGGCTCAGAGTTTGGATTCAAGGGGCGGCTGCAACATCAAATATGGGAATGTTTGTGGCCGAGATGAGCAGCGACTCTTTTCAATTACTTGGTATGGCAGAGAGGGGGTTGCTGCCTGAGTTCTTCTCTAAGAGATCTCGTTACGGAACTCCTTTATTTGGGATCCTCTTCTTAGCTTCTGGTGTGATTTTACTTTCATGGCTGAGCTTTCAAGAGATAGTAGCTGCAGAAAATTTCTTGTATTGCTTTGGCATGATCTTGGAATTTATAGCATTTGTATTGTTAAGGATAAAGTCCCCCCATGCACTACGCCCATTCAAGATACCTGGGGGAACTGTTGGAGCCATCCTATTGTGTATACCTCCAACCATTCTCATATGTGTTGTTTTGGCCTTGTCTTCATTCGAAGTCATGGTTGTAAGCCTTGCCGCCGTTGCAATTGGTTTGGTGATGCAACCTTGTCTTAAGCTTATCGAGAATAAGAGATGGTTGAAGTTCTCTGTTAGTTCTGATCTTCCTGATGATATTACAACACATGAACCTTTACTTCGTTGATTCCCTAATAAGTGCTTTATAAGGTACAACTACTCCACTAATCATGACAACAGTGACAATATGGAATCTTCAAATGCAGAATTATCATGGAATGCATGGAAAACAGTGTGAAACCAGTAGAAGTGGTTGTCAAGGTTTGGATGATCCTTCTCTTTAAGAATCTTATCGAAGCTTCTAATCTCGTAAGCTTTATTTGTCTCTCTCTTGTACCTATTTTTTTAGTGTCCATAGCTACAATTTCTAGAGCATCGATAGCAGAAGAGGTTTATCGAAGGTTTGATGATCCTTTTTCTCTTTATGGATCTTATAATGGTAGCTTCTACTTTTGTATTCTGTATTTCCCATCACTTGTGCCTATTTTATATTAGTGTCAAGTAGTATTAGTGATGGTCATTTAGGAATTGCTTCAGAAACAGACGGTGATTTGTTTTTATGAAGTGACTTCATTACTTGTGTAATGCACATTGAGCTAATAACAATGATAATAGTGGAGCTGCAACTGAATCCGTAATGTTCACAAATGAAACCATGTCATATAAGTTTGAGCTCAGTATGCTTATTTAACAAGTGGATTCGTTATTGAATGAGTCGAGTTTTCACAAGCTCTATTCAACTTGTTTATGGTTAGCAAAAGCTTGGCTACCTTAGATTTTTTATGCATTTTTTGACCTGGTAGGCAAGTTCTATTGGTTATGCTATTTTGCATGTAACAATGTTTTCCTATATTAGAAAAGTTATGGTCATTTAGAACGAGATGAGTGAGTCGAGCTCGATATGAACTAAGTTCTCCATCACGCTCAAGTAAATTACTTAATCGAACCAAGTTCCAAAGTGGAACTTGAGCTTGTTTATTAAACCAAACGAGCTGAGCATGTATTTTTCTGTCACTTTGCATTTATTCTCTTCGAAGGATAAAAAGAAGATATCAAGAAGTATTTTTGCATTCAAGGTTGAAGTCTCATCTAAATTAGTGGATCTTGCTACCAATCACGACGAGAGATTTTAAATGAAGAAGGATTCTCAAGTTTCAACTAGAAATAAGGAAATTATTGATGGCAACAGCTTTGCCCCTGACCCTCCTGGTAGTCAAAAGAAGGTACCGCAGTTCACCCCACGTAAAAGGTACATATTTTCTTGGATTAGAAACTGAATCAATAAGCTGTTGAGGGCATTCAATTGTTGCACTGCTTGTTGGATTCATGAAATATGCAATTGATAGCCTCTGCTTCTCCTTATTCACCACTGCCCTGTGTATAACACTCTTTAACCTTCCATTTGTCCAAACTTGCTAGAAATACAAGGGTGTATAATTACTCAATATACAAAAAACATGTGTGTGGTATGGCATAAGTCAGATAGTTTTCTCATTTCTGATGAAATTTTTGAGTACTAAAGATAGGTAATAATGTCTAAATGTTGGTTGGAAGAAGTTATATGACATTAAAAGCTGAGATAGTCATAAGTAGTATTGACTTCCAAGTTCCATCCATAAGTGAGGGCAAGCCATTTCATTTTCCCTTCTGATAGAAAGTGTTTTTCTGGGAGAACATGATCTAGTAACCTAACATCATCAAGTGACTTCCTAGTGAAACAATTTCTTGAGAAATGATTTTCGTCATTCCAAACACGCATTAAGAAAATTGCAGTTGATCATGTAGTAGTAATAATTATGATTTCTTCTTTTGCTCCTTTGAGAAAGGGAGGAGAGAATGACCTCAAGGGTGTCAGCAATATTGATGACAAATGAATTAGGAAGTAGCCTAACTCCAATCCATTGTTTGTCATCCTTGAGGACTTGAATGCCACCAACCTTGTCTTGATACAATATGGTTAATGTTTGGGAGTCTGAATGGATCCCTATTCCTACAATCTTCTCAGGAAGAGGACAATGAAGATATCTGCTTATTCTAAAAATAGTAGCATCCTTTTCTTCAAAGTTCTTACTGAAGAAGTCATCTGCAAGGCCTAATCCATGAGCCAATATCTCCATTATAATCATTCCCAGCTTGTCCATTTCTTCCATGTACTCTATCATTGTGTTGCTGTTTAATTTATCAGAGTTAAAAACAACATATTTGGTAAGATTTTTTTGTTTGAAACAAAGGTAGCCAAGCATATTTTTGGTAAGAAGTTTGTAAACTTAAGTGTACTTTTTTCTAACAACTTAAGCTTAGATGAACTGGTCACACAATTTAACATGATATTTATTATAGATTCAGGTCTTAAGTTCAAATCTCAAATCTCACCGCCATCCTTCATAAAAAAGAATTTGTATGTGCTTAGCTAGGGATGGATGCAACCCTCCTGTACCGGGCTCATCCTAACTATTTTCGATATGGAGCATATATAAAAACTTAAAAGGTTGAATTGATCAAATTTAAATCTTGAATTCGTCTCCATGCCTAGCCCATCAAAATGAACCATACTCGCACATTAAGGGACATATTGAAGTATAGGTTGTTGTATGTGTACCTAAATGTGTGGTATTGGTCAACATAGACCTTTTTTGCAAATTGGACAACTATTTCAGGTGACTGCAGTAGCTGCAAGATTTCAGCCCAAGGCAAGTTCTTCTCATACTCGGGATTTTAGGCGTAATACCCCAATGACAAGCTTGATGTTTTGCCACCTTTGAGATTTTGTTCCATGGGAAGATCAGAAAGCTCGTGCAAGCGACTGGTAACATTCTCAACTACCTCACTAGGCACCCCATGGTCCATAAGCTTAAAGAATCCCCATTTTTCTCTTGCTTTCACCATATCTTGGCAGATATTTTCCTAAAGTCCTTGATTATTGTCCCAAATACAATTATTAAGACTAATCACTGAAATATCTTAAATTACATCTCCGAAATCGTCATGCTTAGGTGCAGGCTGTTCTTCCTTAGATCATATGAAATTCTTGACTTGCATTTATTGTCATTCATTGAAAATGTCTCAACATGCTCTTCTTCAATTCCAGGTGCCATTATTAGACTATAGAGATTTTTGACATAATGTGTTCTGTGTCTCTGTAGATACAACCTCTTTTGGCCCTGCTACTTAATATATACAGAATTTCAAGGTGTTCTTTTCGATATTTAAGAAAAGAAAAATGGTATATCTTTTGCATTGTTCAGTCTTTTGTTTTCTTGTTGTTGCCACCAATGTACCCTAGAAAATATCTCTAGGATTCTTTGGCACTAAGTCACTTTGGAAAACATTCATTATTCATGACATGTAAATAAAGTCATGTTTAAGCAAACAAACCTCTATCGAATCTCAACAAAAAGAACAAAACTTAAAAAAAGAAAAGGGAAACATGAGCATAACAATGATCTTGAAATTGAGGTACATCTGTAACAAAATAGTATATAGGCATGGCCTGTGAAATGTAAATGACTAGCTAAGAGGTCTTTACTAAATTTGAAATCCTTATCATAAATATAGAAACTATAGTGCTTCGAAAATGCAATTTAATTATCAGTCTTTGTCCTGTTGATGAGATGCTTCAACATTCAAGTCAAAGGGTCTTGGCTCTTCACATTTCTTCGGGAAACTCCGTGTCTCTTCTGGCTGCAACAACAAATATCATGCCTTAGTTCCAAATGAGTTGCAGTCGGTTATATAAATCCTTAAAATCTGTTCTACACCATTAAGTTAAGATTAGGCATATAATTTTTTTGGTTAGGATGGGGGAGGATTAGTTAGGATGAAAATAACCTCAAGAATTAGCTCGATATACCTTATCAGAAGCGGATGGACGGATGTCTTTTTGTAATCTCACTGAATCATGGAACATCAATGTATTGTGCAATGTTATCTCTTTTGGTAGTGGAGAGCTAATGAGACGAAAACCATAGCTTTCTATCCAGGTCTCTATGCACTCTGATACTGATGGAATTACCAGCTTTTCTACCTTTAGAGAGCAAAGAGTCTGCAACAGATAGGATCATCAGCTCAAGTAGTTATAAGAATTAACAAAATAATTTAACTTTTGTACACTGACAGTGTAAAAGTTAGGTCATGTTAAAGATAACTATAGGTAACCGTTCATTAACAATAAGATTAGTGACCTCAATAATCAGAAATGTACCGATAGTGTAAAAATGAGATGACATTCTTACTGTTTCAATGGCAACCATTAGCTTTTTGCACATTCCTTTTCTCCTATATTCCTTATTTGTCGCGATAAAGGGCATTTCAGCAAGGTTTGTTCCATGAATCCTGCGATATATTAACTAGATGATAAGCATTTAAAAAACACTTACTTATGACTGATGTTGAGTCTGGTTTAAGAGAGATATATACCTTATGGTTGCTGCAGAAATGATCTCTTCATCATTTTCTAAAATAAATGTGTAAAAGCCCCTGAAATTCACCCTGTTGAAATTTGACCTGCAAGAAGTTTTCATTAGGAAATAAAGAGAGTTCATGTGTTTATTCTTCAGTGTAATGGTGTGATGAGAGATTGTAGATTACCCGCAGTTGTAGACCAGACTTTTGACGACATCAATTTTAGTATGCCTGTCTATAATTTCCTCGAAACAATCTTCCATAAGTCGTCGTGCCACGACTAGTTTGGAGTGACACACAGTTCTTTGATAATCGTCTTCTATATTAATTCCAGAGCCATCATCTGTGTTCTGAAGAAGTGTCCATTTGTAACTTTTATCGAGCTCATGTTCAACACCAAGATAGCACCTCTCCAGTTTATCATAAATCTTCACAATAATAATTCAATTCAAAAACATCTTAGTTATCATTAGTAGTAGCTAATAAGCCTATAAGTCATTTCTAAGTACAAGGTCTATGTATATTTCTATGCCTAATGCAGAGACAATAAATGTTATGTGATTTATTCTCATCTGCCTAAGTCTAACAGGACAGAGTTATCCTATATTTGTGCTTATGGGAGATAGCAGGTACCCAGCGGAGTAATCAAGCTACACACAAACTGACTTAGGCACCTCTTTTCACTCTGCTACAAAGAAAGAAACATTAAAATTAACTGCTTTAGAATAATGTGTATTACCTTTTTGCAGGTAAGGTCACAGAATGTGTCTTCTTGGGTCTCATTCATGTCTAAACTGACTGGTTCTCTGGCTTGACGGCACTCCCTGTGATCTGTACAATAGGAAAAAAATGTACCGTCTAAAATTGCAATTCCTTAGAGGATAAGAGTTTGCAACATAGAACAAGAAACTCAAAAGGGTACAGACAGAAGCAAGAATTTTTTTTTATCTTCACTTACATTTTCTCTCACATTGTTGACATTTCTGCAAATAATCATTTTCATAAGCAGGATCACCACAGATTTTGCACACACAAAATGGGCAATACCACGAACCATTAGGAACCTCCTGCAATTCAGAAACTCCACAATTTATTAGTCTCAGTATGATTTAACCCAATTAAAGATAGTTATGTAGTAAAGTAGAGCCTTGTTGCAACGATAAGAGTTGCAGTCGTGTGACTAGAAGGTCACAGGTTCAAGTTTCAGAAACAACATTTGCAGAAATGCAACATAAGGTTGCATACAATAGATCCTATCCCGAAGCCTGCACATAGCAAGAGCTTAGTGCAGACTGCATATGATATGTGATCCAACCCTTTCCTATTTCCCGCACATGGTAAGAGCTTAACTGATGTTTAAAGATAACTATATAGTGAAAATGATTTATCACCTGCATTCCCAAGCACTTATTATGATGGTAAGTAGAGCTGCAGTTGTCACAACACATCAGGTTCCCTCCATCAGCACAAATCATGCAAGCATCATCGTACGAGTCACTAGCATCATGGCTGGTTTCAATTAAGTTAAATCGATGAAATTTACTTTCTTCAGGTAAATACCAAGCTTTAACCATGAAAGACAAGAGTGAAGAACATGTTTCAGCAATGAGAATGTACTCATAAGGTTTGCTAGTTGTTCCTCCAGCATGTTTATAGAAGTCTCCAACTGTAAGAACAGTACAGCAACAAGAACATAGTATGCCTTCCTTCTTAATCTTCCCCATTTTCTTTGTTGTCTCCTCTTCAATGACAACAACTTCTGCATTTTCTTGAATTACACCACAATCTATAAGCCATGTAAGTATTGTTGCTCTACTCTGTTTTTGGCCATTTACTTTCCTTTTTCTACTTATTCCTGCTCTTTTCCTCCTACCCCGCGTATTTCTCTTCTTACTTGAAACAGAAGAATCTTGATTATCCTCTGATGAAAATGTTTCATCTTTAACATGTTGCTCTTTCTTCGAATGGCGATTTCGTTTCCTGCTTCTCCCCATTGAAGAATTATCATGAGTTGTGTCATCTTCAGTGAGATAGCCTCTTATGGGGTTAGCCAAAAACTCTTCTTTAGCCTTTTTCTCAGGTAATTTTGCACGATATTGCAAGTCACTCATGTTGTATGAAGATTCCGAACTCCAAGAACTAGAACTGCTTCTCTGTTTTCTTGATCTTCCTGCCATTTTTTCAATCATAAAACAATCTCTTTTAAGACTTTTTTTCCTCCTGTTTTTGAGAATGAAACAAATGGTGCTAAACTTATAAAAAGGTCAAATAATAGTTGTATACATTTTTTTCTAGAATAAGAAATGCATGCATAAAACATAATAAATGAGTGATTTGTTACTCTATTCACAATGATTCTTGGTTTTTAATGCAATTATGTCAAGTTTTTTGGAATGGTAACTAAAGAGGTAGATAGAGGGAGAGTAGATTTCCTTATCAAATGACATTATTACAAGTGTCAAGCTGGTTAATAATTTTATGCAAATTTGGCATAGCAAGTTTAAATAACCTATAATTTCTAAAATTCTAATAGGTTTGAGAAAATATATCAAATAATTAAATTGGTTACATTTGTTTCTCTATTTTGATTCACTTTGTTGGTTAGGGACTTGAAAAATGCTCCAAAAATCTAATGGTGTGTCTGGAAACTATGGTGTAATTATTAGATTGTGTACTAAACGGTATAAACAACAATGTCAAATCAAGTAACCCTTTACCTTTAATGAATTCACACGCAGTCACTAGCTTTCCCGATTCGCTGCTTTTGCTTTGAATGAATTCAAACGTAGTCACCAACTTTCCCAGTCCATTGCTTACTGCTCACAACAACGTTCGATCTATACTATAGTCAACAACAGAGTCAAATTAGGCCGCTTTTTGCCTTGAATGGATTCACACACAGCACCAACTTTCCCAATCTGTTGCTTACTACTCACAACAACATTCGACCTATACTACAATCCATAACATTGTCGAATCAAACCACCCTTTGACTTGAATCAATTCACACGAGACGACTAGCTTTCTCAATCTACTGCTTATTACTTACAACAACATTCGATCTATACTATAGACAACAATAATGTGAATCAAGCCGCCCTCTACTTTAAATGAATTCACACGCAGCTACCACTTTCCCGATCTGCCGCTTACGGTTCACAGCAACATCCTACCTATATTATAGTCAAGTTGTTTGCTTAATCTCATGTCCTTCTATTCATCCATTTCATTATACTATGTGATTACTATCAATTCTTTGCCCGCCGCGAAAATTGGAGACTGTAATTATTCCCCTTCAATCACAAGTTCCAAAAAAACCCTAAGTGTTGACCATTTGTTTTTGGGCTTAAACATGCTACTTATTAACTTTTTTTTTTTTGGTATTTAACTCTATAATTTGCTATTTGCACCCTAATGTATATGCTATTTTGTGGCTTATACCTTATTCTATTATTTTTAATGATTTGCACCCAAATTTCCTTAGTTCTTCATAAAACAATTCACTTTTAATCATTTACAATGATAAAATAGAAAAATTAACAAATTATTATTTTAAAAATATAATATAATATGATTAGATTATTTTCTTCCAACAATATAATTGATTGTTCTAGTTAGGTGTGTCAATGGGACGGTTCGATCGGGTTTTTAAAAAAAATTATGCCATTCCAAAATTTTAGGTATTTTATGATGTATAACCAAAATCAGACTTTTTAAAACCATTCCAATCATATCGGTTTCTCTTCGGTACCGGTACAGTTAATTTGCATTTTTTTTACTTTTAAAATAACATCTCAAAATATATTATTATTAAAATATTTCTTTTGCAAATATGTTCGTGAAGAAACACTTCAGTTCTTCACCAAGAAGTCAAGAACGTCAAACCTTGTTGCCGTATTGGTTGATCTTAAACATTTAATAGGAGTGTTTGCATATGTTTAGGTGTATCGTTTGATAGAGTATCTATTATAATATCATTTATTTTTAAACCCAATCAATTAAAGATTAAAGAGCAAAGACCCAAAGTCGTTCAATCACCACTCACCACTCACCAGTCACCAGTCACCAGTCACCACTCACCACTCACCAGAAGCTTAGGACCTAAGTTATATTTATATTTAAAATTTGTTATATAATATATTTATATATTAAATTTAACATATTATTGATATATAAAATATATTTACATACATGTAAGGTTATTCAGTTCGGTTCGATTTTTTTCATAAATTAAAAAGATCATCCCAATTGTTCGGGATAATTATACACTTAAATAAAATTCCACGGTTCTATTGAAAAAAATGACATAAATCGGTTGGGTTAGGTTCGTTTGGTTTTTCATATACTTTTGACACCTCTAGTTCTGGTCTTAGTCTTTGTTAATACATGTACAATGAGATATAGGTCATAAAAATTATGAGAAAGTTAAAATAAATATAAAAATTATATAATAATAAAATAAATATGTATTAAATAAATTTTAAAAATTATAAATATAATATTGGATTGATTGATCTCGGATTGCCTTTTATTAGTTAAAACCAAAGCAACTCAAGTATAGTCGATTTTTTTTCCAATATCAAATCAAGTCAAACAAAACTATTAGTCCTTTTTTCCGATTTGATTCAATTTGCAGTTTGGGGTTCGATTTTGTTCATCACCCCTAAAAAATGTACTAGAAATGAATGATTGTTTTTTCATTTTAGTGGAAAAGAAGTGACAAATGACTTGTATTTGATATTGTTTTTATTTTAATTCAAATCACTTTTTTATTTTTCTTTATATGTAATTTTCTATTTTATTCCTTTGTAAATAATTGAAACAAAATACTTTTTTATGATTTCAAAAAATAATAATGAGATTAGCTAGGATGCAAATCATTAAACATAATAGAATAAGTTATAAGTCATAAAAAAACATATATATTAGGGGTGTAAATCATAAATTAATCGTTTTATTCAATTATATTGACCACATTATTAAACACATAAATAGCATCAAGGTAGGCAATGAGGATATTTATGTCTAGCTAGATCAACTGATTTTACTTCATACTTTTAGAGTTGGAATAAGTTAACAATTTGTTAGCTCCTTTAGAATCTTATAGTACTAAGAAGGACAAGATATCAGTTAAATGGATAGATACCTATTATATCAAAGAACATTCCATAATTTGGTTAGAGGACAAACAAATTCGATTAGATAAATAAAATATACTATCTAGATAATTTTCTCTGACTAACTTCGTAAGTTCAAAAAAATTCTATAAAAATATCAATATTAAAAAGGGAGATTAAACTAATCAGAAAAGGATGCTCTATAAAAACATGTATAAGGAGGTAGATATTATTGCAAATATCTACATCTTTGCAATACACTACTTTTTGTGAAGTTAAAATTTAATAAAGTTATGTTAATGTACTCTTCTAAAGTTGTTCATTTATGATTTTTTAAGTGGCAAAAGAATGATACTAATTTGTGTTTTGATCTATTATATATATATATATATATATATATA